CAGCACTGCTAAAGAATTAGATTTCATTAAAGAATAAATATTGGGCATGTAAAATAAACATCTTTTTATCATGAGGCAACAGACATTGATTTATTTAATGTATGCATGTTTTTTTAGATGTGAAAACCAGGTGATTGGATGAATCTGTCTATGCTATAATTAGAAAATCAGTAGATAAGAAATATAGATAGTTGGGACAAAAAAACAAAAAAAAAAAAAAATCATCACAGTCTGAACTAAGATGGCACGTTCTCAGATTCTCCATAATTTTTAAATAGTTTTTCTTTTCTATAAATGCACAAAGCCTGAGTCAGGATCCCAGCTTCTGACCAAGGCTCTTCCAAGCAGTCAAATATAAATAGACTTCACCTTATCTCATCTTATGTAAACAAGAAGATTCCCTACAACCACACAGAGAGAAAAGGGGGATAAGAAAAATGAAGGTCATTAGTAAAAACGATTTTTTTTGCTTAATTTAGTTAAAATACTCAAAATTAGTTACTATATAAAGACTAAGGATTTAAGTATCTTTTTTCCAGAGTAAAGTGCATCATCCATTCATTTCTTTTTTTTTTCACATCAGTTATGACTTCAATGAGACTTTTTAAGTACATAAGTGTTAATTTTTATCTATTCACTGAAACAATTATTATCATCATTCTGATATTTTTCTTATGCCGGTACATCAATAATACTGATACAAAAAAGTATCTATTTTACACAACTTATTTTTCAATATAATCTCCTTTTTTATCAATTCAGTAATGTATACGTCCTCTTATATGGCAGTGAATGCTGGACAATCTCCTTGTGGATGAAGAGAAAACTAGAGACAGCAGAAATGTGGTTCTACAGAAGGATACTGAAAATTCCATAGACAGAGTAAACACCAAGGAAGTCTAAAAGAAAATGGCATGAGAAAGAACACTTAGAATCAGGAAAAGGTAGCTGGAATTCCTTGGACACAATGAGGAAGGAGGGCTTGAAAAACTTAACCCTCATGGGGAATATTGAGGGCAAAAGAACCATTTGCTTGATAAATGAGGAGGGGCATTGAACCTTAGGAAAAGGAGAAAAATTGCTAAGGGTCACAAATGATAGGAAGTTGTGGAGAGCCATGATCGCTTATATCCTGAAAAGATGATGCATATAGAAGAAGAATGTATATTATCACTGAAATCAAACTTCATATGGCAAAATTCCATATCCAAATCCTGGCATTGCTCTTCAGTCTTGAACAGACATCCTTTATCATTTTTTTTAAAAAATATTCCTGCTCAAAGAATTCAAGGAGTAAGAATTCTTTGAGCAGAAATATAGTCTATCCCCAGCTTAATATTCTCAAAGAGTTCTAAGCTGGACAATTCCATATTGTGCCTTCTTAAACATTTTCTCAGTCTTTATGTTGGTCGAAATTGAGATGACTTCATATAGACATGTGTTTTTTTTCCCATTCTTAAGGAGAATATGGCATTGTAATTGAATATTTATCAAAAACTTTTTAATCATTCACATTTCAACCCTCTACTATTCCAACCACACCCCATTTATTATATTTGGGCAGTTCTTCCACTACCCACTACTATTCCAATTCCTCTTGTATTCCAAACTCAAGAGTAACTTACATGTCAGGTTACAGACATTTTGTACACACACACAAATCTACATAAAATTTAATATTTCAAATATAAATACATAATTATTTATATTATTTATATTCAAACTATTGTCCTCATCTTTGTTGTTATCACAACATTTTGGCCATCACAAAGAAAGCCAGAGGGTACAATGGTCAAAACTTGATAACAACAACAAAGATGAGAACAATACTCTAAATATAAATAACAATAACTCTTCATCCCAGAAATTTAGATGTAAATACATAATCTTTATCAATTCTTACACTTTGTTAATTTGTTTAAGTTTATAAACTAAAGCCATGTATACAAGTTGCTTTTTAGGAACTGATATATCCTGAAATCTGTATTAAAGAATTTAAATTTCTATCTGTTATGAAATTAAGCCTTAGAAACTTTCTCTTGCAACAGTGATTGAATTTTTGAAGAGAAACCAACCATAGATAATGTTTAATATTCTGACACCCTAATCCTACCAGTTCACACCTGTGTTATATGGTATAGCGGGTCATTTACAGCAATGACTCGCTATACCATATAACACAGGTGTGAACCATTCTCATTCCCTTTATATTCCATTGGTAAGAAGGAAGTTCCATTTGGACAGCTTCTTCAAATGAGCCTCTACTTTATAGAACAAACTTCTGAGAAGAGGCTTCCCTAAACACTACAATCTTAACCTCTTCTAGTCTAGGTTCAACCATTATCATTTACTCTTTAATATTTCAAGATATTTTTGTATAATTTTGGTAAATATATCTGTTAAAATGAGATGACTGTGTTATTTTCCTTTTTGCATAAATTAGAGGACAATTTATCCATCGCACTCAGTATATGAACATATATAAAAATCTACATATAGTTATAAAAAAAAAAAAAAAAAAATTGATAAAAAATTACCAGCAATACATCTTTGTAAAAGATATTACTAATGCTCCCAAGAAAATTAATTTTCAGCATTAACTGACCTATAAAGAGTTGATATACCGCCAGGCAAACATAGCTCAGAAAAGGAGAGAAAAATCCATTCTTCAACTACTAACCTACTATTGTGAGTGATAAAAAGAACTAATGTTTTGTTGTAAAAATTGACATCAGGGTACCAGTTTGTCATAGGATTCCAGTTTATAGCAGAATTGTCTTGTTTGAATATAGTCTTGTTGTGGTTACATGAGATAACATGGTGTGGTGTAAGTGACATGTAGCACATATCGAAATTAAGAAGTTTCCCTAAACGTGAAACTAGATATATCTTGTCATGATGGCATCCCGTGGTTGAAGAAAGAAAAATATAAAGAGAGTTTGTATCCTTTCCTTTTATACTGCATTAGAATATAGGAATTGAATTCTATATATGTTTTCCAATCAATAAAATCCCATCAGAATGTTTGTTTGATAAACAATCATTACAAGGGCAAATACTGCCACCACAACGTTATTTTTTAACCATTTAAAAAATAATAACTCACTTCACCATTCCTGCAAATTCAAGAAAAAAATTTTTGCAAGCCAGTGTGAAATTATTTTCTAACCAATGAAAAGTTCAAAAGTTTATACCTCTATTTTGAATCCCCTTATTGATATAAAAATAGAAACATACTTCTTGCAGCTCAAAACAATTTTGGAGATCTACATATGCATACACACACACAATGGAAGAAAGACAGCCAGCAGTTGCTGACTAAGGCCTTGTTCATGCACACAATAGAAGAGATTAACTAGCAACCACCGACTAAATATTTTGTTTACTAACTCACAAACACATTAGGCTGACCATCATAAAGTAAGTGTTCACTCATTTTACACAATACTACAAATGCTTAATTACTTTATAAAGCAAACTTCACTGCAAGAAAAATTGAACATTTTATTGTCATTGTATATCTCTGAAAAGAATATATAAATGTTATTTCAACTGATGTTCGATTTCTACTTTTCCTTCAGTGAATAACCTTTTATATGCTTCATTTAAAAGATGCGTTGTTATTAAATGTTTGGAATCCTAACTCTCAGATAGGAATAAAAACCTAGGTATACAGAACCCAGCAAGACAATGCCACCTAGTGAAAACCAGAAGAATTCCTCTGGTAATAAAGGTGGGATAATCTCACAAATTTCAACAGCATGCACAAACAAAATGTAATACAAGCTTCCCCAGCTATATATGAACAACAGTCTCCTTTGAAAGTTTCATTTCTATTATATTTTTATTGTTAACATTTTAATGTAGAATGACAATAAAACAGGAAATTCCAGGTGACTTCTTTTTTCTTTTTTTTTTTTTTTAAATACCTTTGATTTGCAGATGAAACTGGAGAGAAAGATGAACTGATATAGTTTCCTGCTTAAATGTAATCATCATGGCCTGACAATTGTGTTTAAGCATGAAACAGACTGTTGCCACTGGATGTTGACTGCAATGTCCACTTTATACTTACATACACTCTATCCCTGATATTGAGCACTTTAACCCATAAATATAGCATACCTATATATATATATATATAGGCTAGGATGAGGTATCAAGCCTTGAATGGCAACCTTCCTAGAGATTGTGTCTCAATAAAATCCCTCAAGAGTACTTGGACTATCATGAATGTCTGAGTTGGGTGTCAGGAAGAGTATCCTACCTTGCAAAATCTTACTACAAATCATGACAAATCTTTTGTCAGGCAGGACCCACCTTACTTTGTGCAAGATTAATCCTGGTCCTGCCTCAACAAAAAAACAAAAAAAAAACACTTCTATTTATCTAGCTAGCTATTTAAAGGCTACAAAAAATATTGTAAAGTCAATTTTTATGATTTTGTAACGCAAATGATGGATGTGCAAATGGTGTAATGGTTACTGGTATGGAAAGTTAACTCAGCATGCTGAGTTCAATTTCCAATTGATTCTATTTCCTTCAATTTATACTAATACCCTTGGAAAAGGCATGAATTCATTTTCCTCCAGCTATGGATTAAATAACTGGGTTTTGAGTCAGTAATTGGCCTAGACGGAAGAAAACTCAATTCAAGACCAGCCTAAAGGTTATCTTGCACAAGACACTCTCACTACTGCTATGGATGCAGTACACGTGGTGCCATTATTATTCCAATGGATTTCAGGACTCATGATAATTCATAACAATAGCAAACTTTATTCAATAAAATAAAAAGGGCTAGATGAGTGTTTAAGATTTCTTTACCTAACAGTCTTAAAAAAAAAAAAAAAAAAGTTTATATAATCACGTTATAAAATTATGTCATTTTTATTTTTAAAATGTCATGTCCCTTCTGGACATAGCTCTCCACAGTTTTGTGTTGTGTTTCTTTTGGTTATTTAAAGCTGAAACACATTTCAGATTGCAGGGGGTTCCTTACAGTAGTCAGTTTTCCCAAGTAGTCACTCATCTAAGTACTGACTGGGCTCAATGCTGCTTAACTTCAGTGGTCAAACAAGAACCAGTGTTTTCAACATGATTGATCATACCACAGTTTTGTTAATGACCATAACTTTGGAAAGATAGCAGAGTGGTCTCCTGTTATCTTCATAGTTTTGAATACAGAGTTCTTGCCAAAGCTAAAATACCCAGCCTAATTTAACCTATAACTGGAGTGAGGGAGGAGAGATAGATTCATGCCTTTCCTGAGATCATTAGTGCAAAGTGTTTACAACAGCCTCAACCAGAATTTGAATACTACCTGCCAATTTCATTTTATACACTGATAGGTATTACACCACCTGCACATCCCTCTATATTATTAAAAACACTAATTTAAATTGAGAAATGAAAATAGAGAAAGTCTAATTTAAATAAAGATTTTCTCTATTTTTAGCTATACTAATACTAATAAAAGAAAGTTTATGTTTTATATAATCTTCTATGTACCATATCTCTTCAGAACATGGCCAATAACGATTCCAAAACTTCCTGTCCTTTGTAACTCTTATTAAAGGCCTTTTTTTTTGTTCATTTTGCCATTTCTTTTAATCCCTGTTCTGCCAGACATTTACACAAGCTTGTTAAGTAGGTTATGTGCTAATCTACTGGTGTATATTATTACTTTGTTGTCATGTGTGTGAATAGTCTGAGTATTAGGATGTATATATTTCAAATACACCAAAGATAAATATCTATACTTACATAATTTGTTTGTACAGATGTATAGATTTCAGTACAGCTTACATTTACTTTTAATTATTTTTTTAAATGCTTAAATGAAACTTTAAATATTATACTTATCTGAAATGAAGCCAGAATTTTTACATAAAGCAGATAGTCATTACATCCAGGGTGTGTTCATTATGATTTCTGTGTCAGCACTGTCTACATTTTTATATTCTTCAGCATCAAACAATTTTATGAATGTTATTTATATTTAAATATCAGTAGGCGGCATGAATGCCAAGGCTCCTCAGGAAAATATGGTTCTTTAATGAGTATAAAACATCATTATGGTTGTAGTCTACAAGAACAACTTAGAATGCAGCAACTCTTTTAAACACCAATCTTTTTTTTTTTTTAATCATTTCACCCCAAGCAAGGTGATAACACCACTAAGATGCAAGGGGTTTCTGGTAGTGGAAGAGAATGAGAAGACTTTAATGATAAAAGACAATAAAAGAACAGGTTTCAGGATGACAGATTGATGTTGCATTTAAATTTTTGAAGATTGTAGGTGACAGGGAAGCAAGAAATCAGAAGGGAGTACCGCAGGTAAGAAAAGAAGAAACTATTAGAATAGAATGTATGGTTGCTATCTAGCTAATTCAAACATGTCCTAGCTGTAAAAGTCTGAACTAAATAACAGAACTTGTCTGAATATTTGCCAGACTTGCAGCATTGCATCTGTGGAAAGGTCATTGCAAGGTGAGGTCTCCCACACTCCATAGGATAGTGTAAAGGATTTGGAACTTGAACAATATAGTGGAAACTGAGGATTAAGCAGCTCCAGCTCAAATATAGCAGCAATACTCTATTTTGGGTCTTATCTGAATCAAAGATTATATAGAGAACACGAATGAGGTCCTAAAATAACTATATTTGAATTTGACTCAATGACAGACACTTTTGTGATTAACATGGTTAAAATGATGTCCATGAAATATAAGTGTCCAAGGTGTGAGATATAAATTCCAAACTTCTAAGAAACTACTATTTTAGTTCTGACTTTTCACCATTTGCACTAATAGTCAAAAAGTTTATTGTCAGAAAAAAAGCAACAATAAGAAAATCAAATAAAATTAGTAATAAAATAATAATCAAAATGCTTCATGTAAAAAACAAGCTTTACTAATAGGATCATAATCTGTGTGTTCTTCTGAGGATCAAAGTGTTGCTCCTAGGATTAGACCACATTTTCCTGGCCTTTGGGCTGGGATTGAAGTATAGTAAGTGTTGCCAGATTTCTGTCTTCAGACAATTGACAGAGAAACTTTGAAGAATGCCTGGTTCTAACCCAACAGCAATGAGGAGGAATAGTTCCCTCATTGCACAAAAGAGTTGTCAGTGTCATAGTGGTCACAAGAACTGCGCAATTTTTGTCTGTCCTTGGCCCATATATATGTGTACAGGCACCTTACATTAAAAATGTTCTTTTGCCACATCATGCCACTATGGATAGGAGTGTAAATAAAAGATCATAGTGTAGTATTTGTGTGCTCTCCTGCTGTACTGAACAAAACCATTATTCTTAATGCTATAACAATAGTCAGTTTAAGTGGTAATCAAGTTCTCTACTGTGACAGACGCAGATAGCCTATACACGCATATATCAAGGTTAATTTCCGCCTAGCAACAGAATGGGGGTCACGTGGAAGTCTTGTGACATTTTGGGAAAGCAAGTCAAGAGGTTGACTAACCCAATTACCCATAGCAACAAATGTTTAGACAGAAGCTAGACAGGGGACTGATGTAAGCTGGAATTCGCGCCAAAACTTAAGACATGTGAGAGTTAAAAATTTACTTGGGAGGCAGTTGCTGTCTTGACTTTGAAGGAGCAAGGCCTGAAATTGAAGTGCTGATAACTTATGAACGGAAAGATAAGACTCATTTGATAATGATGGAACTTGTCCGATTCAACCCAGGCAACTCCGGACAAGAAATATGAGAACAAGTATTTCTGTTTAATAACCCCAAATTGAAGACGCAGAGAAATTTGTATGCTGAGAATACAGTCTGCGTTTGAAGAAAAGAGAAAACCAGAGAGGAAGAAAGTATATATCTCTGTTACAAGCTGAACTGTGTAAATAAAAAAGGAAAACCAGGGAGGAAGAAAGTATATACCTCTGTTACAAACTGAATTGTCTAAAGAAGAAGAAAGAAAGAAGAAAACCAAAGAGAGGAAGAAAGTGTATATCCCTGTTGCAGTCAGTCGGGTTTGGAAACTGAACTGTATACAGACGAAGAAAGAAGGAAAGAAAAAAGGAAAAACAGAGAGAGGAAGAAAGTGTATATCTCTGTTACAGCCGGACAGTGTGTGAAATCGTATTTGTATCAAGAAAAGAAAGGACAGTGATAAAAAAAAAAAGAGAACTGAATATAAAAGATAAGTAATCATATATTTTGGACCCGTATTAGAAAGATACACATACATCCATAAATATTATGTTTTTACAAACTCCTTTCCACATGTCAAAATAATAACTGTAACTCCTATCCCATCCCTTTTGTGTATGCGTTGATTTCTGCATTTGTAGTAGTTCATACTTATATTTTTGTACGTTCGGGTTCAGTTGAATCCATTTGGAGTTAGGCGAATTTTGATATCCCAGATCTGGTTGTCGGATATTTTTACTCATGCTTATATTTTCTTTTATTTTAATATTTTGTATATCTGTACATATTAAAGTTCTTGTATCAAAAATCGCTAAGCCTTTATCGTTCATCCTTGATTTGTGGATCAGTATTCGTAGAAACCGGTTAACCGGGAAAAAGATTACTGTTCGATTATCCTAATCGAACAGTGTTCTTAAAATATTTTTTTTGTTTACCAATTGTCCATTGTCACGATCTGAGAGAGATAGCCTGTATCTCTCCACAGGTGTGAGAATGTATATATCTTCTGGTTGGCGTATGATCGCCTTATAAACCCATTCGTCGACTAGGGCATATGACATCTACCCAACTTGGAACAGGAAACTGAACAATTAAAGATAATGTATATTTTTTTGCAGGCTTAACATTAACAATGAACTTAAAAAACTGGCCTAATACAAAACTGGTACATACTAAATTTACAAATACAGTTGTAAATAAATATCCTTTCCATTATGTTACTTGTTTATAACTATTTCTACAATAATTAGCAACAGCCTTAAAAGCTGAAATGATAGAAAATTTCTACTGTTCCTTTAAGAACAGTAGAAATGTTTTACTAGAGTGTAAAGCAGTGGTTCCCAAACTTTTTTCTCTGGGCCACATTTTTGGAATGAAAATTTGCTTCTGCCAAATTTTACATGATAAAAAGTACAAAGGGAGATAACTACAGATTCAAAGTCAGAACATGGAAATTATTTTAAAAATATTAGTTGTAAATAAAAATTGAAGTTTGTTGGATGGTTTGACAACATGTCAACCTTTGTTGAGTCATTTACTTACGATTTTTTTTACTGGTACAGGCTTGTGTGTGTGTCTGTGTGCACATGCATTTGGGAGAATGCATCTCCAATATCAATAATCACAAAATATAAAGTAGGTTAACTTGTCACTTATCAAAACTTAGTGCGATTTGTGCATATATTGATCATCACAACACAAACAACCAAAATACAACTATTAAAATCTTATGAAAATATTAGTAGATAATAACACTGTAGAGGAAAAAAAAGAGAAAAAGAAAAATACATAAATCTATTATTATAAAAAAAGCAACAATCTGCATTAATTATATTTCACCAGAGGAAATAGAACTTTAAAATTTGTATAAAAAATTTAATAACTTAATTATAATTCATATGTATATGCTCATTTCTGGTGTTATCAAGCTTTGTGAAAGCATGCTACACTTGATGTCACTTAAATGATATATATTTAGATTTGAAATTTAATTTTAAAAAATGTCAAGATGTAACTAACAAGTCTTTTCTATGATATTGGCAACATTTAGTTCTTGAAAATAAATGATAGGTTTAAAAAGTATGAGAAGAAAGAAAACATGAACTTTGGTCAATTTATTCACAATTATCATTTTGAGGTGCAAAAACTTATTTGAAAATTGGATAAACAAATAAGAAAAAAAAACAAAACAGACAGACCTTGTCAGTTTAAGTTAATATAACTTTATATATCTGTATAGGGAAATGACATAAGAACATTCCTACCTATTTGACCATGAATCATGGCATTTATATAGAATGCCATGTTGCAAATCAGTCTAAGCTAAGCTTATTAAAATTTATTTGCAGCTATATAACATACATATTAGACTGCAACCTATCAGTCACATTGATGAATGCCTTACATATTAAAAAAAATTT